TCCAACAGCCTTTCTGCCGTCAGCAGAGCGTGACGGTGCGCCTGGTGGCGCACATCTTTGCCATTTGGATCACCAGGGCTCCCTTGACTGTCTCCTCCAAATGGGCTTGTCCTTTTTAAGGGCCCCCCCGTGAAAATAGTGGTTTGCCTGTGGTTCCCTTTCAAACTCACCAACAACGGGATACCCTCGAAAAAAGACACACCCAAATCACTGAGGAATAACAGTTCGAACTTTTGCCCCCCCCCTTTGTAGTCTTCCAGGGTTCCCTCCTAATTCGCACCTGGATATTGAAGGAGTGGAAGTAAAAGACAAGGGATATCCTGCCAACTTACCTGGCTTGGTGCACTGCATCCCTGTCGAAAAGGAAAGGTGTGGCCCCGCATAGTTCAAGTTAGTGCAGAAGCCCACTGAGGGTGCTGTTTTTCACTGACATGCAAATTGGTGGGAAAGTAGCGCCAACAAGTGTCTGAATGAAAGTCTTGCGCTTCTTCCAAATGCATCCGCCATTACAAACTGCGGAGTTCTACAGAAACATCTTGAATGGATGTCAGCTGCCCCCATGGTCAAAACTCCACATTACATGCAAGTCGCGTTCCTTTCCTTATCTGGGATCTGTGTCATTACATTCTATCCACGATTAAGGGGCCCATGACCAAGCCCAAGCAAAAGGAGCGCTTTAAGCGAGGAACCCATGGCGCAAGTTTGGTTGTGGCTCTTTGGGATTTGTCATGGCAGCTTCACGTTGCGGAGTTGTTCGCCGCGGTGTATTCAATTGCTGTGTGGGTGTCGCGTAAAATAGGGCACCCCACGAGTTGGTGGGCTTTCCTTTCATGAAGCTTCTCTTTAATTACTCCCAAAACAAACAAACACAAGACAAGAGCCTCAAAAAGTCACACACACACGGAGGGCGAGAGAGTCAAACAAAAATAAGGGGGTCCAAATTTGCAGGTACCAATGACAAGGAACATTTAGGAAGTCCACCTACTTTTTGTTGTTGAAATCTGGGATTTCATGGAGTCCCCAATCCCAAGCTAGCCATAAGTTCTGGAATTGTTGTAGGTTTGTAAGAAACCATCTACGAACCCATTTGCCATTTAGGGGCTGTTGGGGACTGTTGCCCAAAATCAAGCAGTTTGTGGGTAATGAACTCATAAACTAGAGGTTCATAACAGCAGGGGTTCCTCTATTGGGGTTCCCACGTTCGCCTTTAACAAGTTTAGCTCAATTTCATGTAAAAAACAAAGGAGGAGAAAAGGAGAAGGAGGAACAAATCAACCAGAGGAGAAAGAGAAGGAGGAGGAGGAGAAAACAAACATAACCACGCTAGCCAAGGCCAAGGCAATTTGTTCTTTACACAGCTTCTCAAATGGTGTATGCGTCAACAAATTTGTAATCCGTCGTTCTTGTCCAAAATGGTTTCAAGCTCGGACCCGCAGATCAGCTCAGCAAGTTGTTGGCCCTTTGGAAATCAGCTTCCCATCATCGGTGCGCTGAATAACCTGGTGAAATGAGTTTGGCCTGACGAGCCGACAATGCGTTTCTTGTCTGCTGAAGGTTTTTTGTGTTTCAACAAACACGTCAACCACCATCAGCTAATCGAACTTACGCTTCTTGCTATGGTCGTGCTGTATTTGAAGCAGCATGAAAGCGAACCCCCACGTCGGTCGAATCTGATTCATCAGACCAGCCGCAGCCTTGGAGGTCACGACCTCAACATGAGCAGGTCCTAACATGCGTTTTCAAATGGTATGTGTGATGTTCCGTTTGAATAATTCTACCCTCCCAGCAGCTAACATGGAAGTGCACAAACTGTAGAAAGACGAGTCTTTCCTCTTGGTTAGTTGGCCTTTTTGCACAAACCCATGTTACTTGGTGGGAGGCTATGTCAAAGGGCCCCCACTTCTGTCAGCTGAATTCACTTCCCGCCTCAGCATACTGCATGGCGAGCTTTCGCGCCTGGCCAAAACGCCCAAAACGCGGGATGGTTCTTGAGGGGTGCCTTCGATCTCTCCCAGTTCTACGGGTACCTTCCATTTCCATTCTGAACCCAGGGATCCGAATCTTTCTAGAAAACCTCCTTTGAAACCCAGCGGAAACGGATCCGGTTTTTGATGAAAGAACGATGGTTGAAAAGAATGGAAAAGGAATCAACCTCTAGACCAATTCCATTTTGTCCTCTCTTCCCAAAGGTTCAAATAGCGGTGGCTGAAAACATGGGCCCCAACATGGCCCCGTCAATGGAAAACAAACACCAAAAAACCTGGTCTGTTTGCCCTGCCTCTTGGTATTCTCGCGCTATAAATGGCAAATGGAAGCATAAATCTGCGATTCCAGGGCTCAGCCCCTCAGTTCCTTTCCGCAGGCGGGGGCTTCCCAGAAGTTCCGCGGGGGGGAGCGCCGGAATACGAGCGGCGGGGCGGGTTGTGCTGCTCAAATGGTTTCATCTCACAGCTTGGTCATTCATAAAGCCAGGCATTTCCAGGCGGTGTTTTTTCTGACAAATCCCCAAAAGCCATATGATGCAAAACCGGCAGGCTTGATCAGAGCGTCTAGATCTGTCTATACATTACACATGATACACGTATGCCGACTTTTACTTCTCGCCCAAGCGAAGAAACGACCCGCTGGTTGCCTCGCCCTCAAGCAAAGCCACCATGACACCCGCTTCCAACGGCCCAACAAACCCAACAAATTTGTTGAAACAAAAATTCAATACACCTCCCCACTGCCGCTGGCATTTTAAGTACCCTGGGATGCCATGACCACTACTAACCCCAAGCGGCATGCTCCTAGGGCGAGAGGAAAACCGAGAGACGCCTTGTTCCGAGTTTGGACACGTAAGCAACAGTCGACATCCAGCGTTGGCGAGGTGTCTCCCAACATGTTTTCTGGGAGCTGGGTATGGACGTATGCCTTCCCCTCTGTCTCCTTCCGTGGTTCACGAGTGGACCATTCCCATGACCTCACTTCTTGGAGTCAGCCAGGCGAAAATGGTACAGTCTCTCCGATCGGAACCCTTACCCCAAAAGAGCTGAACGATCATCTTTTGATGGCGAAAAACATCGCCCAAGAGAAAGCAAGGGTTTTTTAAACGTTAAACAGATCACGCAAAGGGCACCTGGGCGAATAACATGTCCAAGTCAATCCAACATGTGCTTGTGCTTCTCTTTGTTCATGGCTTTATTGGACGCCAAATGGAAACGAGAATCTTTGACGAGACGTGGCCCATTTGGATGAGGCCAGAACAAGAATTGCTCTTGACCTCGGCTCCCCGGCAGTCAGAGCCGGCTGTGGGTAACCATGGACAACGGCCCACGTTGTGTCATGTTGATGTCAACCCTTCCGAGCACAACACTTCCCAACGCTTCTGCCGGGAAAAAAAAAGGCACGCTTCTTCGCAGCAGCCCACACAAAATTAAACGAGCCAGAGATCTAAAGAACTGTAAAGCAGCAGAAACATGTTGAAATGGGCTGCTGAGTGGACAGCTGGGGGCGGAGAAAAGTATCCAAGGGTGAGTCCTCAGCTCTTCGCCCCTTTTCCCTCTTAAATCAGCAGCTGAGGAGGTGAGTGAGCCAATACGGTTGCTTGGTGGCAGCTGGGCACTTCACGAGATTGAAGCTCAACACCACAACTTACTGATCACTTGCTGAGAAACGCAAACTGTTAGCGGGTCCAGAGTGCTTGCCGTCAAGTCGGAGAATTTGTCGGGGGGGGGGGGGTTACTTCAGTATGGAGCTTTACGTGGGATATGACAGGATATGTCTAGGGGTACCTTCCCCATTCTCTCCAGAGATCCTTCTTTCTAGAAACCTCCGGAAACCAAGGGAAATAGCTGGCTTTTGAAAAGAACGATGGTTGGAAGGAATGGGGAATCAACCCCTAGAATATGTCATAAACACTTCACGCTAAAAGTCTAAGCCTAAGGAACCGGAGGATAACCTTGAGACAACCACGATTTGGGCGGCTGAAAAAATATTCACCATGTTTCCACTAGGGAGAAAACCCTGACTCGCCGGGGCCTGGAGCAAAAAGGTGACCCTGTCTTGGTATAACATGAAGGCCCCCCCCCCCCCAAAAAAAAAAAGAGGGTGACCAAAGGTCTCCTTTTAGGGCAAATAGATGGGTGTCCCTGGTAGATGATTAAACCACGAGGCAAACCAGGAATCGCCTTTTATGTTTCTGGCAAAACAACCAAAAAGGACACCTATGAGGGACACTTTCAGCCAGACAGTTCCTCGCTATACAGAGCAATGAGCTCGCGAATTGGTCTGGAACCCCCCCTCCAAAAATGTAGCGAAGAAAGGGCAAGAAAGGGCACCACCTTTGAAAGGGTCGAGTTTGATTTGCCCGTTGCGAGCTGGTAGCGACGCCAAGCAAGCTGGAGCGACCTCTGCGTCGCCTGCGCGTGCCCCAAGAGATGGGAGAAGTGTCCCATGGTGAAGTGTTTTTTTTTTTTTTTCCAAGGTCCGGATGCACCCTTAAGGGTTGACAGGTGCATACAAGGTGCTCACATCACGGCGATCGGGATTGGGTGTTAGGCGCTAGCGGCGCGATGCCCGATACTCCTTTGGGTTTGTGTCAAAGGGATTTGGAATTTGGACCCAGATTGGTGGCTTTCCCTTTGGTCGCCCTTTGAACCCACCCAAAGCAGGTTCCCTCCAAAAGGTTGGTCGCCCATGTCTTGCTTTGGCTGTTGATCATGTGTTGGCCCGTGGAGAAAGTCCTCAGGCACCCGGGAGTGGTACAAAGGGACCCACTGGGCGGAACTTTCAGATTCTGCTGGCCTTGTCCACATGGCTTGACTGTAAAAGGCGAACAGCTTGACGAGCAACGCCTAAACATGGCTGGGTTCTCAAAGTGTCCCCTAGAATGGTTGGCGACCTGTTGCTGTCCCCAAAAAATAAACAACAGGAGGCCATTCGGCCATGGGTCAAAATCCCGTACCCCCAGTGAACATCCCAATCCCCCACTAAAATAGACTAAAATGGGCGCACCTACCCCAAAATGGTACCATTGGTCTTCACCCGCAGCCCTTTGAGACCAAATGGCTGTGGCTCAAAAAGCCGATGCGAGCTCCAAAATGGCTTGCCCTGGTAAGAGGAAACATGGAAACCAAAACCTGCGGAGCCAGCCCCGATCGTTTCATTTTGAGCCACACCCAAATGCACCGAGCAGTCGCCCGAAGGCCAGCTGAAGCGGCATCCCAAAATCTTCGTCCAGCGGTTGGTGCATGCCGCAAGCACAAACCCCAAAAGACACCGATCCCAAAATGTTTTGGTATTGGCCGTGTTTTTGCTCGGGGATTCCCAAAGGAGAGGTTTCCTGGTGTTTTCCCTTTGCACACTACCCCAAAAGGGTACCAACTCCAAAAAAGACACCCCCATTTAAGTTTGCCCCTGTGTTTGCTTGGAGGTGGGAGCCCCCCCCCCTCGCGCGTCGAGTGGAGAGGACATGTCCTTCATCCCTTCATTACCCGGTTTGCGCTTCATTTGAGACAAACCTTAGGCACCAACTGAAACTGAACAGAGTCGGGCCCCCCTGAACATGTTGAAACCCCTTCTGAGAACAACCTAATTTGGGCATCCCCTAAGAAGGCGGGTTTCGGGTCACATGTTGAACAACACCGCGACAAGGGTCACGGGATGTCACCGGTGGTTTCCCTTGAAACGATCACCACGAAAGGTCAATTGGGAAAGCCTGGTACTTCAAGGGAAGGTTCAAGGCAACCTTGACAACCTGAGCTCATTTGACCAAGTAACAACTAGGTCCTCCAGTAGCGAGGTTCGAAAAAGGCTACCCCTTTTTCTGTAATCTATTTTAGTAGGGGAACCCTCCGCCCAAAAAAAGGGGAGAGAAGGGCACTACTGGGGGACCTAGACAACAGACAACTCGATCGGGTGCCGTCAAAATCAAGACAGCTTCATATAATCCATGTAAAGCAGTCTGAGTGAGGCCTCCCGCCTCGCTCGAAGGGAGGCAGAGACGCCGCACGGGTGGCCAACGTTTGCCGGGCCAGCTCCGTTGAAGGGCGAGCCTCCTCGGGAAGGAACGCGCATCCGTATCTGTCCCCCACACCAGGAAGATCAGCCACACTTAATTGGTACACAAATTAACGTGTATGTATATATATATATATACATATATATGTATATATGTATTTGCTTCTATATATGTATGTTGATATATATATATATATATATGTATGTATGTACACCTACAAATAATAATATACGTAGGGATCAGCTACGATTGGTTATAGATATACACATGTGTACATATATATATATATACTATAGGAATCAGCCACAATTGGTAAAACTATATAATATAAATACATATGTAGGGTCCAACAAATTCCGCAGGAAGTTCCACAAACATGGAAGATCGGCCACAATTGGTACCATTGGACACTGGCTTTAAACAAAATGCGTGCCCTCGAATCCAAACCCATCACATTTTACAGGAAGCTCCTTCGGGGACGCTCATTCTTGCGTGTCATGCTGATTTGCAAAAGAACAGAGAGCCTTCTTCAAATGCCCAGTGACCATGGTAGAGGAGGCAACCCCTTTGAGGTTGATCATTTTCCTGGGCAGCCCGATCAATAAATAGGTGGGCTGTGAGACCCCGAACACCTAGGTTTCTCCAAGCTGGCATGACGAGGGCAATCAAAAACGAGAGCCTTTGAACACCATTCCCGCTCCACTGCGGTAAGCCTCGCGGCCTCACGGTGAAACAAGTTGGCGATCTAATTATCAGGCTTCCCAAAAAATTGGCCCTGCAACTTTCTGCCAAGAAAACTCACCTTGAAGCCACACAAAAAACACGTGATGTTTTCAATCACCAAGGGAAATCTCGGGGCTCGTCTGTGTTGCAGGAATCCAAGCAGACCGAACCTGGATAGAATGGCAAACCTTTCGGGATTGATGTTTGTGAAGGAAAGCCACGACACGAACTCCAAGAACCGTTCGGTCTTGAAAAAGCCCCATCAAATCCAAAGAAAAGCAGCCTCACAAGGTAGGAAGATCAAATCCAGAAAAGCAGCCTCACAAGTAGGAAGACTGGAAGACCTGCGGCTGCAGGCATCACCAGGTGGGACGCCCATCAACGCACCAGCGCATTGGAGTTCTGGAGGCTCAGGAATACAACCTGGTTGATAAATGGGGGAGGTGCAGCCTACCTTAACAGGGATCCGGATGCATTAAAAACACCGATCGAACATTGCGACTTGTAAATGCTGGTTTCCCACTTTATTTTGGTGGGAAAAGCAACATGTTTCAAATGGTTACAACATGTATCTTTTACGGAGCCCTGCTTAACTTAGAAAAGTTGCGGCCTCAATAAATCTGACAGGTCCTACTTATGTCCGTCAAGAGCAGAGAGAACCGCCCGTTTGACACCTGTGGGGAAAACATTCCGCAAGTACCCCACAGAACAAGTATGTTCTCGGAGCCAGAATCGATTTCCATTCTTTCTGGTGAACTCACTTCCTGAGCAGATTGGCCAACCAAAAGTACCCAATGCGTGAGTTTACCACTAAAATGGGTCCAAGCCCAACAAATCAGTCCATACACTTGGGGGGTGAGAACAAGGTGATTGTTGAACCCACCCAAAAAACGCCAAAAAATGGGCAACCTACCCCCCCAAACCCCCCGGTAGCAAGGCTTGCTTGACCAATGGTTGAAGAAACTGGGGAATCCACCCCTCGATTTCTCGCCCTTTCTTCCCCTGCGCTGAACTTTGCAACCCGGTCCTGCCGCTCGGCCTGAGACACGGCCGAGCAGGCCGTTTCTGCTTGGGCCAGGGTCGACTCAGCAGTTTCACCCGGAACCAACCAAAACTCACCACGTTTTCGAGGAGCCTCTTTTGGGGGACCTGTTTTTTTTTTGTTCTTTTTTTTTGTTTTTCCGGGGGGGGGGGGGGGGGGTCGAGGTGAATTTGTAGAGGAGTATGAGCGTTGCGTCTCTACGAAACTGTCTTTGCGGCTTCTACTGCCTTCTACTGCCTTTGTTCCCAAAGACCTCCCAAAAGCCTGCAATAGGTGGTGTTTCTACAAGGGGATCCGTAAAATTGGCCGGTTTCGGCTTGGTCTCCCTTTGAAGAGAGGGTCAGTGCTGAAATGGGATCTGTTCAGAAAATGGTTGGTTTCAGTTTGGTTGCCCTTGAAAAGCAACCAAAGGGGTTCACCACTTTGAGATATCATATGGGTAGTCTTTCCAACATAAAGAATGTGCTAGACTAGTTGCAGTTCATTTTTTAATTGCCAATTCTTGGCAACATGAACAAAATTTTGTTGGGCGCCCAAAAGAAGGGTGTCAGGTGAAGTTGCAAATGATGCTTTGAACTTGACGAACCATTCAGGGACCCTGTGCCACACTAGGATGTCCTTTCATGTTCAAGTAGGTGTGAGCTCCTGGATGATGACTAGGCCGTTCTCAGTGCGGTCAAAGGGTTTGTCTAAAAGGCAAGGGACATATCAAGGGAACCAGGGTTCAAAACTTGGGACCTTCTTCTGTTGAACAACCACAACAGCAAAGGTCATTGCTCAACCCGCACGAACCTTTCGATGCGATTCTGGAGAACCGCGGCTTGTCGATGCCTGAGCCTCTACAAGTTCAATGGGGGGAAACCCTCAAGAACTCTTGGACATCAATCCCTTATGTGGGGTGGGTATCAAGTCAGCGGGACGTCCAAAATGGGCGGTTTTCCTGTTGGTTTCCTCCTTTATACCATCCCAAAAGTGGCAACTCCAAAAAAAAGAGTCACAACCCGTTCTCACCCCGAAATGGTCCAAAAACAAAAAACACCCGGTACCGTTTCCCAAAAAACCGGGTGGATCCGAGCGTCTTCCTCCTCTTCATCCAAAGCCTGCCAGGAACGGCCCTTGTTTATCAAAGACCGAGCCCCAGCTTTGCTTGGTGAAGTTTGCAGGGAAATCTATAAGGGACAAAGAGCACGTGTCTGGGAAACAAAGGGCTTTTGGAGTATGGAGGACCCGATTGAAAAGGCCCCTCCACTTTCATTGGAAAGGGTGTGACATTCATGACCCGGGTAACCTCAAAGAAAGACCCACACATATGTGACAAACAGCCAAACCCAACCTATAAGCCCAAACAAATGCACTTTAAGTTTTCACAGGGCGTTTGAGACAAGCAGAAGGGCCCCCCTTCAGGACCTCCAAGTCCTAGATCATGACATTCTCAGGGTCACCCATCTGCCCCCAATTTCATATGGTACGACTTGATATTTTGAACCCCATAAAATTCTGAGAAGAAACACCTTTGTCTTAGCCAAATTTGGAGCAATTTGGGTGTGTCCATGTTTTCCGGCAAGTGTGCATAAATTGAAAACACAACTGCCATGTCGATACACACTCAGCTCACAGGTTGCCCATGAGCGCCTATCACTGTTGACAGTTGACCATGAACACTAAGGACATACCTTTTTCTCACCTGGAACTTAATTTGAAACGCACATCTGGACAACGGCCAATGAGCCGTAATCACGACAGTCAAGCACCATTTGTTTTCTTATTTATCCTCGTTCTTGCTTTGTAAAAGTGGATTACCCGTGCTTTTTGCAGTACTAAGAAATATGAAGCAGGGTAAGGTACGGCGAATTCAAACCCGCCACCCCTTCCACTTGCAATGCGCTGGCAAGGATTCGCAATACAACGCACAAGCACGAATCTCCGAAGCAAGCGACCTGAACCCACTGAGCAACACATAGGCTTAAATGAGACTCGGACCGAAATGCGCTCCTAATGCTGCCGTCCGTGCTTCTCACCTTCTCCAGCAAAATCTCGGTGAGCGGGTTCCCAGGCTTCCACACAACCCCTTGCTTGATGGGGGAAAGCATGATCACTGAAGGGCTGTCCACAAAACCCATTGCGAGAATCACTCGCATTGAATTCCCCCAAGTTCATTGAGAAATTTCGGTTGCATTGTCCTGGAAACAACCTGGCATTGCCTTCGTCTCTTTCAAAGGTTCCCTGCACCAACGTCGCTTGCATTCATCGCCGTCCCCCTTGCATGAAGGTAGAGGTGTTTTTGTTTTACTAGCCGGTTTTTTATTATGTCCGGTTTTCCGCAAAGCGCAACTCCCACCTGCCACCCAATCAGAGCCAATAGGCAACCCCAGGTCCAAGTGATGCTGGTGATGCCGGGGATGCGGCCAGCCAACCACCCAACCAACCAACCAACCAGCCAGCCAGCCAACCAACTCATCACCAGACCTAAAAAGAAAACAGACCTAGTAAAATAAGAACCACTACCTCCTTGCATGAAAGTTCCCCCCAACTGTCTGGGCGGATTCTGGATAGAACATAGCGATCTCCTTCCGTGACTCCTGACACACGATAGTAAACCACAAAGCAAAACCGCAACCCACGAAAGATGAAGCAAAATTACCAAAAGCCCTTGTGGGGTCGCGCCATACACATTCGCCGGAATCGCTTGAATCCCCGGTCGCGCGTTGGCTGCTTGAACCGGTCTGACCGGACATCCCCTTGTACATGCTACAGCAATGACTAGCTGGACATTCCCCCAAAAACATGGCACCCCCAACAAATAGGAGGTATCCGAAAATGGGATTGCCAAAAATATTGGAACAGCTCTCCCCCCCCCCAAAAAAAAAAGAACAGAAAGGAGTGGTTGCCCATGTGGGTTCCATCGTCGCGTAACCCCAAGGTCCACAAGCCCGGCACACCCCATTCCAGGGTCTCGCCTGCATCATCTCATCCATGAAATCCTGCGAGCACACAAAACCGGGAACTCCATGACTTTGAGTTTTAATGGGGGGACCCTTTGGTGGACATCAGAATTCCTTGGGGATTCGTGTCCGCCAAACTTGTTTGAGGCGGTTCCAACTCTTAAACCTGATAGCCATACAGGAAAAGATCGATCGCGCCTGCCATCTGCGGAAGCAAAAGGAACCATGTAACATGGGGAAGGGTTCCAGCTCAGTCCTGCCCCCTCCCCCCCCAACTTTATCTTTTTCCCACTGCGGCACCACGTGGCCCAAGCCCCCTGCTCGCCGGCTTCATGGAGCCCCATGACATGCACCCACCATCTATCTTGGGGTTTCCAGCTCACGCAGTTCGGTACTCGCTCGCTCAAGAAAACAACAACAAAACCAAGGCTCAAAACACACTTCAAGACTTCAAGGCAAACCAGAACACGGTACTTCAAAGGCCAAGGCGGGCAGCGCAATGCGTTTTCAGTTACTTGTGTTCATCCCGTGTCCCCTGGGTTGGTACGGGTTGCCTTTTGCACGGAACCGCCAGGGATTCCCCGATATTTTAACGACAGGTTGGACTAGCGGGCAAACAATTTCCCCAAGGCCAGCTCAACGTCGGACCAACCGCAACTGAGCATGGGGAACAATTGCACCTTGTTTGGCACTTGATCTTAAACCTCTTATCCCAAAATTGATACCTTAGGGGGTACCTCCCCCAATTGGTTTCAAAAGGTGGGGTTCCTTTACCCCAAACCACCAATCCAGAACACCTTTTGAGGGTAGTCCTTTTTGGCAGGTCCCCCAAAAAAATGACAGGTTTCACCACCAAATGGGGGTTACCTAATTCAAGGGAACCACTTCCGAAAGAATCTCCGGCTGAAACCTCGCCACCGGCCGACCCGACGAGCGCCGGTGCCTGCGTGAGGGTTTCAAAGCGCCGCTGTAGCTCTCCCAGCTGGTGCTCCACCATCTTGGTGAGCCGCCTTCCGGAAAAAAAAGAGAGCACACCTTCCACATGGAGACAACTAGAAAGAAAAACAGGATCATCATCCCAAGACAACACCTTGCACATGGAGACAACTAGGGGGAAAAAAACAGCACCATCATCCAAAAACAACACCTTCCACATGGAGACAACTAGCAAAAAAAACAGCACCATCATCCCAAAACAACACCTTCCACATGGAGACAACTAGAAACAAAAACAGCACCATCATCCCAAGACAACACCTTTTTCACATTAAGAAAAAACAAACAAAAAAACAGCACCATCATCCAAAAACAACACCTTCCACATGGAGACAACTAGAAAAAAACAGCACCATCATCCCAAGACAACACCTTTATGAAAAAAAAACAGCACCATCATCGCAACGCAACACCTTCCACATGGAGACAACTAGAAAAAACAACAGCACCATCATCTAAAAACAACACCTTCCACATGGAGACAACTAGGGAAAAAAAGGCACCATCATCCCAAAACAACACCTTCCACATGGAGACACCTAGAAAAAAAAGGACCATCAAAAAAGCAGCACCATCATCCCAAAACAACACCATCCACATGGAGACAACTAGGGAAAAAACAGCACCATCATTCAAAAACAACACCTTCCACATGGAGACACCTAGAAAAAAAAGGACCATCAAAAAAGCAGCACCATCATCCCAAAACAACACCATCCACATGGAGACAACTAGGGAAAAAACAGCACCATCATTCAAAAACAACACCTTCCACATGGAGACACCTAGAAAAAAAAGGACCATCAAAAAAGCAGCACCATCATCCCAAAACAACACCATCCACATGGAGACAACTAGGGAAAAAACAGCACCATCATTCAAAAACAACACCTTCCACATGGAGACACCTAGAAAAAAAAGGACCATCAAAAAAGCAGCACCATCATCCCAAAACAACACCATCCACATGGAGACAACTAGGGAAAAAACAGCACCATCATTCAAAAACAACACCTTCCACATGGAGACACCTAGAAAAAAAAGGACCATCAAAAAAGCAGCACCATCATCCCAAAACAACACCATCCACATGGAGACAACTAGGGAAAAAAAGCACCATCATCCAAAAACAACACCTTCCACATGCAGACAACTAGAAAAAAAGGACCATCATCCCAAGACAACTCCTTTTTTTCACATGAAAACACTAGACAAAAAGAAGAACGAAAACAGCACCATCATCCCAACACAACACCTTCCACATGCAGACAACTAGAAAAAACAAAAGCAGCACCATCATCCCAAAACAACACCTTCCACATAGAGACAACTAGAAAACAAGCAGCACCATCATCTCAAAACAACACCTTCCACATGGAGACAACTCGGGAAAAAAAAAGCAGCACCATCATCCCAAAACAACACCTTCTACATGGAGACACCTAAAAAAAGAAGAAAAACAAAGAAAAAAACAAAAGAAGGAAAAAACAGCACCATCATCCCAAAACAAAAGCTTCCACATGGTGAAAAGAACAAAAAACACAAGCAGCACGTTGGCAAGATGTCCCATGGAATTTGGAGGTCCCGTTTTTGGGGCGCTCGGGCACTTTCCCGATTCAGAGCCGACTTGCAAGAGGAGCCATGGCAGGGTTGTGGTCCTTGTAATGGGCGGCCAAGTCACAAAGAGTCCCCTGGTTTGAAACACGTGGGATCTTCGGCCCCAAGCGAGGTAAACAAGCCAGGAACCTATAGCCAGAGCCCCGGGTCTTTGGTTCTGTCATCGGCGAACTGCTCCCAAAGCATCCTGAGCTCTAGCTTCACGAGGTTGGCTCTAGCAGCCGTAGTCACATGGCCATGGCTCAAAACCCCGGTTCAGTGAACATCCCAAGCCAACCACTAAAATAGGTTCCAAAATGGGTGGTGCATTCACCTACCAACCACAATGGGATCCCAAAACGGATTTGACAACCACGGATAGCTGGTTACAAACGGCTTAAGGCTCTGCCCCCAACTCACTTCCGATCCGGATGGGCCAAACAAAGTGGCCCAACTCTTTTAATTTACCTAGGTCCTCCAGATTTCAGAGGTTAGAATAAGTTGGTACCATTTTGTTTTTCAGTTTTGTAGATTTTAGTAGGGGAACCCTCCCAACCAGAAAAGAAACAGTAAAAGGGCACTACTGGGGGACCTGGTTACTTCCCCAAAAGTTATACAAAGCCCAGGAGCTCAGGACTGCTCTGATCCAAATTCACCCTAGCAGAACCAGCTATTGAAATTGATCTCTCTCGGAATCTTGGGTGCTGCTCAGGGAAACACCTTAAGATTCAAGGATCGACTGGCAAGTGAGAAAAGGACAGTCAACTCATTTTCTCAATTCTCATTTCGCCCTGAGTCTGGAAATGCAGCATGGCCGCAAGGACTTCGTCTTTCACAAGCCTTCGGACAACATCACACCCTTCCCGATTTGGAGACCGCACGAAACGTTAAAGCACACCCAGCATCTTCCACTTCAAACAGACTGGTGCCAAGGGCAATCTCGAGCATTTGCTCGCTTGCTTGCTTGCTTGCTTGCTTGCCTGCGCATTGTGCAAGCGAAGCAAAAACGCCCATCCCAGGTCCTGCTGATTCGGGTGTGTGTTTCATGTAGGACGACTTCAGCACCATGGTGACGTTTGCCTTTGGCTTCTTCAACCGTGTCCATGGAAAATCGTCACTTTCGAAAGGATCTGTTTGAAATGGAAGTTAGCACCAAGTCTTCGATGGCAAAGCCACGCCTCAAGATCAGCGCCGCGCTCTCCTTCTTAGGCGGACCTTCTTCAGGAACCTGGCATTGGCGGCTGGGCCCCATGAATCAAGGGGGGCTACGGGGGGGGCTATCACACGTACTATGTCTAGGTCCTCCAGTAGAGAGGTCAGAATAAGTTGGTACCCGATTTGCTTCTGTAGTCTCTTTTTGTACAGGAACCCTCCCAACCAAAAAAGGGGGTAAAAAGGCACCTAGCTCGGGGACCTAATAATATATCCTTGAGGATCTCAAGGGCAGTTCCTTGGCTTAGGCTTTTCCAGGGATAGCTCCCCATGAAGGTCCATGACAAAGCCTGGAGTCAGTCAGTCCCAACAGGGGATCGAGCACTTTCAGTCGGTTTTGGCACTTTATTCAAACCTCTCAGCGCCGGTTTAATTGGCTGCGCGGCTTCTGCCTGAAGCTGCCAATCCAAACCCATTCAGAGTCCCCCCCTTGAGGGCTCTCACTGATGCACAGGAAGCTTTGCAATCACCCCTATCTGATTGAACCACATGAGGCTTGCTTGTCTCCCCTGTACGTCCGGGGTGATTTGCAAAGCTTCACCGAAATGAAACAAGAAACGCATTGGCGACCCAGTTTGTGCGACCCAGCTGGTTTCTTGGGCCCGCAAACGAAAGGGAGGACAAACGAACGAGTCTCCATAAGAACGCCACAAAGGGAACTGGATCATGAGGGGGTTACAAGCTGACCGTGAGGTCGCTGGAGGTGCCCCCTTGATGGGATGTGTACCGTTTATCAGTGGGGTACTCCCTTTTCCTCCAGTAGGCTCTACGCCAATGCTTTGTGTTCACTACCCCCCAACCACAATGGCGCATGTGTCAAGGACCATGGGGGGCCTGTCCCTTCAGCCCGAAGATTGGTCTATCATTGGGGCGGGGGCTTAGCAAATCTGGCACATGGAACATATGGGTGTCTTGTTTTAGGAACCATGAGTTTCCTGTTGGTTGCCCTTGAAAACAACCCCCAAACGGGGTATCCTCAAGAAAGACACTCCCAGATACCCAATAACTTCGTGGCTAGTGATTCTGTATCCCAGCCCGGACCCGGTGGCTTGGGGCAAAGTAACTTTCACCCTGGCTGAGGGCAACAAGATAGTCATAGTTTCCTTTCCTACAGTGGAGTGGAGCTTTGGTCCTGAAATGAGACATGCCCGGGGTTCAAACCACAATCAAAATAGTGGGCGTGAATATAACCACCATTCTTTACAGGTACCAGGTTCAAGTAAATCAACATAGGAGGACCCCACAAACGGTGGTGGTCCTCTTAGTTTCCCTGCGAAAACCAAGGTGAAAAGGGTACTCCTAAGAAACACAAACCCGTGTGCGACGTTGTGAACCATCTTTGAACTGAGATCAACTGCACGGGCCATGGATTTGGACAGAAACTCATGCACGGCTAGAATGAGTTTCACCGCGCACTTGCACCAACGCTCGACCCGTTTAATCCTTCCAACAAGTCGAAGCATTCAGGAGTGGCTTTGGATGTCTGGGTTATGGCTTGTTTACAACCTAAGTTTGGCGTCCTTATCGAAATATAGACACTTCATACGGATGTGTCTCAAACCTAAGAAAGGTCGATGTCCTTGTGCTTTCCTTTCAAACACACCTCCAAAATAGTACTCGCAAAGAGCAAACAAGGACACACATGACACACCCCGCCTCCGCCAGATCGTGCTGCGTGTCTCTCTGGTTCACTACCTTGCCCGCGATGTCCTGCCGGTCAAACGTCAGGGCTCCGCCGACTGCTGCATTGGGGGCTTAGAGGTCTTTTCCAAGAACTGCGGATACGTTGGCCCACAACAAAGCTGTCTTTTTGTTTTTGTAATTCTTGCAAACGAATAGGGCACACAGAAAATCATATGTTCAGAGTAGTCATACTTAGCCTGCCCTCAAATATCAAATTGTTGTTGATGAGACCCCAAATAAGAACACGAACAACCAATACAGCCAGATCTCAGATGAGTGGAGACGCTACGCAACCTCCAGTCACCAGTCACCACTCTTTAGGCAACAGCTTGTCGACTGGCGGCCAGTTGAAGCCCTTGCATGTGGGCAAGGACAAAGCGGGGCTTGTCTCGAAATGAGAAAACAAAAACACCCATTTACAGAAGCTGGGCTATGGAAATGTAAGGACAATTAAAGAGAGACCAGCTTCGACAAATTCCCAGACCTAACAAGGCGCTTAGCCGCTTCACCCTCTTGACATGGGATGGTTTCGAGGGTTCCCATGGCGTTTCAAGGGGATTCAGTGTTCATGGGCGAAGCACGGGCCTGTTTTATCCATGCGTTCAAAAGGCCTTGTTGCACACCTTCGCCTCGCGAGAAAACCGAAAATTCACCAGTCTCGAGGCTTACCACAGGACGGTTTGCACGGCTTAGGACCCCAAAGGAAGCCTCTGAAATCCAATGGGAAACGAGAGAGGGGCTTTCCCGGGACGGATGGAAGTGAACAACAAGACCACTTCGAAAGGGGGGTTGCTTTCCCGGAAACCATGGATTGTTAAGGAAGATTCAGGTTCCATACCTCCAAACCCATTCCTGGAACTAAGGGATGCGCAGGTAAGGAACCCTCATAGAGCTCGATTTATCCCCAGCTCTAGACTTCTCATTTTCGTTTGGACGTGTTTAACGGTGGCGCCCTGTTTCTCCACGACAATCGGGTGATTTTCTCTTCCGGCCTATGCATCTAAACATCATTTGGCCAAGAGTCAAAATCCAAATCGTACCCCTAGTGAACATCCCAATCCCCACTAAAACGGACTAAAATGCGTGGCGCACCTACCCCGAAATGGTTCCATTGGTTTTGACCCACAGCCATTGTGCGTTTGGGAGGGTCAGCAAATCCCATGGTTTCCGACATCTTAGAATCTTTGTAGAGGTGTTTGGTTCAATATTGGGATAGTTTCCAAAAATAGTTTCACCACCCAGGGGTTGGGGGGGGGGGGGTAGTTTTGAAAAGCACCCACAAGTATGAAGGGGCCAAGCATCCATCACAGGGAACAGGCGTGAGTTTGATGAAACAGGGACCTGTAAAGTCGCAGATATACAAAAAATATAGTCTCAACATGACCAAACGCTGCCATGATTTTGGTTGATGGAGCCTTTTTATCGAAAGAACCATCGTTGATAGTGCAGAAGTCAGCGGTAATCCAGACTTTAAAGAAACTATTTATCATAAACATGTACATATAAATATATATATATATATATAACCCATGTTCTCCCATATGTTTACATGTTTTTAAATCGAACAACAATGCTTGTTGGGCTTAGTCATTGATTTACCTTTCAAACCGTGCCGGATCCAATGTGTGATGCCCGTTCAAAGGCAATCCTCGAAGTTGCCGTCCCAAATCAGCACCCTGAGCGGTTGATTTGGGAGCTGTTGGGAACCTCGTACTCCAAATATCTGATTCTCTTGCGGGGGTTATTTGGGGAAAACCTGGTTTTCCAGGGTAAATGGGTTGACATGATATCCCATCATGCCCTGAAGTGGGTATTGGGTGCAGTTGGAGCCCAGGATTACCCATTTGCCCTCAAGAACCAGGGTTCAAATCCCCAAAGCACCGATCAACGTGTACCCAAGAACCTACACTTCGTATGTATGATTGCACACATGTAAAAATGATAATCCACTTGAGTAATCTGCTCTTGGAATCAAGCATGGGTAGAAGGTAGAGCTACAAACACATGGGGGCCGCTCCATCGGAAACAACAAGTCAAACCTGGAACAAATCCCTATTGTTGCAACCCAAGGAAACCGGGCTGTCCATAATCTTGACTCGTAGCTGTGCCCTACCAGTGGAAAACTCAGCCTTGCCTTGTGAAGGGGCTCCGGACTAGGATTGGGATGTGCAGGGAGGGCGTTCTTGTGTCAGGCTGAACGGCGTTTGTTGTATCTGCTCTTGCGCCCCATTACCACAAGTTGATTTTTGGAACGTGTCAAGCAGAAATTGTTGAAGTTACGTGCCCTGGCAGTTCCCAGCACCTTTAGCCTTTTAGGCTTTCAGAGCTAAGAGGTGTTTGTGGCGTACCCCACTAACTTGTAGCAAGGAATCAGCGAACAACTAAAATACATCCTCGTTTGAGCATATCCACAGAGTTGGCTCCATTCCGAGGAGATTCCTGCAATCGGTTTCAAGCTGTCCGATCCAGTTATGTCTCTACGCTCGCAATGCAACCAGAGTGAAATTGCCATTCGAACACAGTCGAAAAGCCACAGCATTGGCTTCGTTCAATACCCAAACAAAATGAAACCGCTCCTTTTAACAGGGCACCCGCAAAAATTAGACATACTACGTAATTGCAAGAAACAAACAGAAAACGACACTCCCTTCCCCAACATGTCCGTTTTCCGTTTCCACACCTCGCAGCAGGATTGGCCCTTGTGAAATGGAAAAGAAAAACATCCGGTTCAGTGGTTTTACTTGACTTAGTGTTTTTTTTTCCTGATCCCTTCCTAAAGTCAAAACTTGTAGTCGGCTATGTCATAAACGCATCTAAGCAAAAGTCTAAGAAAAGTCTAAGGAACTGCATGGTTCGTGCCAAGCTGAGGACTGTGGCAAAAGAAGCTGCATTCCTCACGCTTGCCCCATGAAAAATGAAAGCAGGCAGGCAAACTCCAAAGGTCAGTTTCTGGGTGTTGAATAGGGGGCTCTGAGAAATACAATCTGACAGCATCCCCTTTTGGTCTAGTGGGGAAATCAAAAATGAGTGGCCATTTCCCTCTCACTAACGTACCATCTGAAAAGTCTGTATTGTGCCACGTTGGTGGAAGGGACGTTCAAGCATCAGAACCGTATTCATTGAGCTGCCACGCAACATGCTTTTACGTCAGCTAGAGGTTCTACCATGTATACCAATAAAAGGGAAGGTAGCACCCAGCTCTCTAAGTAGAATCATCTCTTGAGATCAGCGGCTCGTTGGCCGCATCGTACGTGTACTGCGCCTGCTTCCGTGATTGTACCTCAGATCGCCCGGATGGCCCAATAGGTCCTCTTGCCAGTCGATTTCCGTTGGAAATTGCAGGGAAGTGTTCTGATGCTAGCGCCCCAGGGCAAACTGTAAAACCGACAATTCTGGGACCATCAACCATCGATACCCCAGAGTGTGTAGATACAGGCATATACTGCTTTCCGTCAACATTCTGTTGGACCAATATCTACGGGCTGCGTGCGGCCAAATACGGCCGGCCGCCAGAAACACAATGACGATACGGCAACAACAACTTCGTGGGATTTTGCCGTCTCATCATGCGTGCTGCGAGCCATGAATCTCCTCTGCGCTATGTTGTTCTCGAAATCCTTGCTTGTCAACACGTCTCAGCGGGTGAGAATGAGAGAGAGAGAGAGAGACAGGTAGATAGATAGGTAGATAGAAAGATAAACAGGTATATAAACAGAGAGATAAAATAGGTAGATAGGTAGGTAGATAGATAGATGGATAGATAGATAAACGATTGATAAACGATAGATAGCTAGCTAGATAGATAGATAGATAGATAGATAAATAGATAGATAGATAGATAGATAGATAGATAGATTAGATAGATTAGATTGGATTAGATTAGATTAGATTAGATTAGATTAGATTAGATTAGATTAGATAAGATAGATTAGATAGATAGATAGATAGATAGATAGATAGATAGATAGATAGATAGATAGATAGATAGAAAGATAGATAGATAGATACATAGATAGATAGATAGACAGATTAGATAGATAAACGATTGATAAACGATAGATAGATAGATAGATAGATAGATAGATAAATAGATAGATAGATAGATAGATTAGATAGATTAGATAGATTAGATTAGATTAGATTAGATTAGATTAGATTAGATTAGATTAGATAGATAGATAGATAGATAGATAGAGGGGTAGCTATATATAGACAGACAGATAAATAAATAGATAGGTAGACAGGCTGACAGATTCATTAGATAGAGAGAGACAGATAGATAAATAAACAGAGGGGGACAGATGGATCGGTAAATGGACAAATGGACAGCTAATAGACCAGATTGATAGACGGAGGTAGACAGGTGGGTACAGAGAGAGAGAGAGGTACTGCGCTCCTGCGCCTCAGGCCGGGTCTGTCACACGTCACAGTCTGTGGGCGACTGTCACCTTTTGTGGGCCTTGTCTCGGTTCGATGCTCTGCTTGGCTCGCCCTGGTACGCAACAAGCGGGGCTGTGTCAATGTGAGATCCGCGCCACTTTGCTGGACGAGGACGAGGCAGGGGAAAGGGGGAGAAGTCAGACCTTTACGCGCGCAGCGCTCTGTTTTGAGGACGGCTATAAGGCTTGGTCATGAGACTTGAGTACGCGACCTTTTCCGAAAACTAAGTATGCAGAAGGCACTGTGTCTGCGTTTGCGCAAGCAAGCCCCAAAAACCAATCCGAACCGCTCCACAGCGCGGACAGGGCTTTCCCAGACGCACCCCAGACCCTGCAAGATCGCCCAAGCCAACCTAAACCAGCCATAAGCCAACCCGAAGCCTCCCTAAGCCAACCCAGTCCCCACCGCCATTCACAGGGAGGAGGGGGCGGGGGTGTTGGAACATGTACGCATAGACCAATATACATGCACCTTCATGGTTGGGCCACAGAATGGGATTGCGTTGCATCGGATTGGACTCCTGATTACCATGAGCATTGCTCACTCCCGGGATCCGGGTGGGTGGGAGGGGGAAAAAACACGAAGAAGACACAGTCCGTTTTTTTTTTTTTTTTTTTTCCTCGCCCCCCACCCTTCCCCCGACATCTCTCTTTTCCATGTCGACTCTAGAAAATGTAATGCGTAATCTACTCTAACAAATCGAATCCAGATGCCCAGTCGTTTTGCGTTGAATTTTCTTTGCTTTTGAAAGCAAATCTTTGAAAAACACAAATTGTCAACGCAGGGCCCCCTTCTGTTAGAGGCAAACAATTTAATGGGTTCCTTGCTCCCCCATACCTTTTGAGAGCTTCGCAGGCGCAAGCATACGTGGTTCATGGTCGACTCGCCGAAAGTTTGCAAAGGGTTCACCTTTTGATGGTTGTGCAAGCTGGAACACGGCGAAAAAAAAACACACCCGCTTTTTTCTCCGGTCGACTCGCCGAAAGTGCGCAGGGGTTCACCTTTGGATGGTTGCGCAAGCTGGCAAACGCAACAAAAACGCGCACACACACACACACACACGAGTTTTTTTGAACTGCAGAGGGTTCACCTTTTGATGGCTGTGCAAGCTGAAATATGCAAACAAACAAAAAACATGAGCTTTCTTAGGTCGTTCATCCGCCGAAAGTTGTGCGATCAGGTATTTTGAGGGTCAACCTACCCGGAAGGGATACCTGGGGGCGGGGTCGGGGGGAGGGGTAGGAGTGCGGAGGACGAGGACACGTGCAAGAAGAAACCAAGTATGTCACCAATATTCACCAATGTAACATGTTCACCCCACGTATCAACACAAAAGGAAACATGTAATGCCAGCATGAAAGGCGCATGGCCGATCCCATGAAGTCGTGCACTTGGGGTGTAGCCATGGGGTTGTATGCCAAGTTTCTGCCCCAACGCAGCCTTTCTGGGTACACACCCGACACTCATATTATACATATGTGTATATATATATATATTATACATAATATGCATGTCTGCACACATATACATTTCTATATTTGTACATCTATATGTACACATCTATGTTTATGCATATAATAATGTACGTGTGTTTGTGATAGACAATTTGATATATATACATATATCTATAGATATATATATATATACTATGTGTATATACACATCATATCAACACAGTTGGACATGAATGTAAATTTGGGGGCCTTTGCTGAACATCATTTAAGGCCGAAATTCTGGGAAGGCATCTGTCTAAGATGGTGTTCGCTGCCCTCAAACCGCTAATGCCCAGAAAAAACGAAGCGCACAGCCACCAAAACCGCTTAAGAAGCGGGTAGGCCACGTATCCTGGCCGTGGAAACCACGAC